ATAAAAGAATAGAGAAAAATAAATAAAAGAATAATAAATAATAAATTAAAATAATCAATATATTAAAAATAAAAAAGAATAAAATAATTTATATCAATAAAATAATGTTAAATAATTTGTATCAATAAATTAAACGCTTTTTTATTGCATATTTCTAATTTCTGTAATAAAAAATATATCCATTATTTCATCATTCTTTTCATCATTTATTATTCATTTTGAATTATTCATTTTTATCTTCTTTCATTTTATAATCTCAACATTCTACTTTTACTCTTTTTATCTTCTTCTACTTCATAATTTCACTTTTTTCTTTCATGTCCTTCTTTTTCATCATTTCTCTTCCTTTTTCTCTTATTTCCTTTTTTCGTAGCTGTATTAATGTATAATATCAAAAAAGGGTCTTTCTATATTTTCTTTTGTATCAAGTTTTTATTAATAATATTATATTATCTTTAACATTAAATAGTTTAAATAATAACGTTGAAATAGAATTGGTTATAGTGTTTTCAATTTAATAGAGTTCTAATAATTTTTAATCAAGATCTTCTGGTTCAATAATTTTATGTATTTTATAGTCTCATATTAAATAAACATGAACAAGGTCTTATTTGTTTTAATAATTAGTTAGTGTCAAGAAAAGAATAAGTTAAATCAGTTGAATCTACAATCATAAATTTAAATACAATGAAAATTTAATCGTTCCAAAAAAAAGAAAAAGAATAAAAAAGAATAAAGATGAACTCAAAAAAGAAAGAAAAAAAGAATGAGTGAAGAAGTGTATGAATATTATTGTATAATAGAAGAACCAATTGTAAATATCGAGGCATTAAGAATTAAAGTGATGAAAAATGGAATACCAAATAATAATAAACTTCGAGCGAAAATATGGAAATTATTATTAAGATATTATACAGCAGAACAAAAAACATGGAATAATAGTGAAGAAACATATTTAATAATTTATAGAAAAGAAAAAGAAATGTATTATGAAGAAAAAAGAAAAGAAGGAAAAGAAATAAAAAATAAAAAATTAGCAAGAATAATTGATAAAGATCTTGCAAGAACAAATGAAGGAGAACATAAAGAAGAATATAATAATGCATTAAGAAGAATATTAAATATTTTAAGTAATATGAAAGAAGGAATTCCATATGTTCAAGGATTAAAT